ACATAGTCAATGGTTCGAACTCCCCAGTGGCTCTGTGGGAGAAAGAAGAGGCTGTTCACTCCTGTAAATATTTGAAATCTTGGAAACCCAAAGGAGCAATTCTACTCTGTCCTATAGGGTCGCCATGAGTTGGTTGGAACACACTCAATGGCAGGGAGTTGGGTGTTTGTGTTTGTTGTCTTTAAAGACCATTACAAGGAGCCCTGGTGACGCAGTGGTGAATTGCTAGCGGGTACTTGAAAGGTCAGCAGTTCAAAGGCACCAGCCATTGTAGGGAAGAAAGACGAGCTCCTGTAAAGAGCACAGTCTTGGAAAGCCCATGGGACAGCGCTACTCTGCTGTTTGGGTCTCTGAGTCACAGCTGACTTGAGACAACAAGTTCACCAGGTTGCGTTGTTACAGGCTGGCTGCTGATTTGCGAGATGGGAGGTGTGGGGGGTAGGTGGGAGGGCTACTGGGCAGACAGCATCTGGAGCTGCTTTGGCAGCTCAAGCATAGGATTGGGTGCTGTCAGCTGCTGCTGTGGATGGAGGTGCCTGGAGACCCAAGTGGGTAGTGAACCCGCTCCACAGGGTCCATCAGGTGTGTCGGCTCCCAGCAGACTACCAGGGTGACTCTGTGGGGCTGCAAAAGGCCAGCTTTCTGGCTCGCAGTGGACACAACACTTGGCTGGTTGTGCCATATTTGACCATTCCATTATGTGGATTACAATATCAGTGCAGTAACAGTATAATGTCAGAACATCACTAGGGTCACACGATCGTTCTTTGCTGTTCCCGTCACAGCCCTGTGTGAGACATGGAAGACGTGGGTCTTCCCCACTCGGGAAGAGATTTGATTCAGAAGCCAAAGGAAAGAAGGCCCAGTTGTTCATTCTCAGGCCTTGTCAAGCCCCAACCCCAGAGAGATCCCACCCAATGACCTTCAGGGCCGCAGCTTCATGCAAACACTGCCCCTTCCTGCCCGCTGGCATCCCTGCCCCTCACCTTCACCCCATCTCGTCATGTCTTCAGAAAAAGCTTTTGAAAGTCCGAGGCAGGTTCTTCTCCAGCTCAGCCTCAGCCACTCCCTGCAACCAGTAAGGGACCATAATGAAGAGCCCTGAGGTAGGTAGTTTATTGTGCCAACCTGGCCGATAAACACATGTGGGATTAACTGAAGGGTGGAGAGATAAATGGCTCGGCGAGCTTCGCCTTTCTTGTCTCTCGCTCCTTCATCAAGAAGAGCAGAGCGAGTCTGAAGAAGTGGCAGAGAGCAGGGGTAAAAGAATCAAATATCTTCTAATATCTTTTAATTGTTTAGTTAAAGACAAAAGGGTTGTGAGATTTTACTGGGTCAAGGGAAGCACATTAAGAATCCTGAAGACTTGAAGGTGGTTCTATGGTCATTTCTATTTGTCTTAATGGTCTCTGCTTTGAGAAGAAAAGAACAACAAAATATCTCTGCCTTCCATCCCCCTTGGGAGCTTTGTGGGACAAGACAGTAAAAAATGTTGCCAAAGGATGCAGAGGGACAGTAGAGAAACCTAATGCCCCAGCCTGGAGCACTCGGCAGATGTGAGTGGAGTCAGCCCATGGTGGGATCCATGCCTGCAGCCTTCCTCTGGTTGAATGAGTCTATAATGGTCCTGAGCCCTCAAAAGAGATCACAAAAGAGCTGATTCAAGTTTTTACAAGCCTATAGGACAGAATGAGAAGCCCTGATGGCTCAGTAGCTGTGCACTGAGTTGAAATTCACAAGGTCAGCAGTTTGAAAGCACCATGGGAAAAGAAGAGGTTTTTTAACTCCTGTAATAATTTTTTCTAATGATAAAGTTCTAATAACGTTTTTTTCTAATAATCCGGCATTCTGTGATGCTCACCTTCCGTGACATGATCACTGAAGACAAAATGAGTGCATGAGCAAATGTGGTGAAGAAAGCTGGTGCCCAGGTATCAAAAGATATAGCGTCTGGGATCTTAAAAGCTTGAAGATAAACAAGCAGCCAACTAGGTGAGAAGCAACAAAGCCCACATGGAAGAAAGCATACCAGCCTGTGTGATCACGAG